TAGAATAGAATAGAATAGAATAGAATAGAATAGAATAGAATAGAATAGAATAGAATAACAGAGTTGGAAGGGACCTTAGGGGTTTTCTAGTCCAACCCCTTGCCTAGGCAGGAAACCCTATACCACTTCAGACAAATGGTTAACCAACATCTTAAAAACTTCCAGTGTTGGAGCAGTCACAACTTATGGAGGCAAGTTGTTCCACTGATTAATTGTTCTCCAGCATGTCGATTGGAGAGTCCACACATGGGTTTATATGCCTTTCTGCCCAGAGACTGAGTCCTTCATTTTTTTTACCATGCCTCTCTGTCAACTGTCACTTTCCCATTTCACAACTCAGTCTGGCCCTAAAGAGACGTGGCAAAAATTGGCTCTCATCTTTGGGCAGAAACGCTTAGATTCTCCAGTCAACGAGCTTCTATCAGGTTGGAAATTGTAGTCCGCTCAGCGCTACCATGGTCCTAATGTGCTTGGCTTTGCTGATGCTGAGACTGCCTTTTTTCTATTTTCTGTTAAAAAAAAAAAAAGCTGCGCTGGAGCACTATCTAAGCCCTATAGAGGCTCTCGATGCTCGGCTCTGCTGACGCAGAAGCTTGACTCCCTCTTCTTTGTGGCAGCCCCTGAGATATTGGAACACTGCTATCATGTCTTGTTAGGAATGATAGTCACCTAACAGTTGGGTTGGCAATATATAAACCAGGATAGTCATTTAATACTGTTGTATCTTTAAGAGAATGTTGTAATTGTGATTGGCTGAGGCTCCTCCAATGGCCATAAGATGGAGCCAGAAACCTGGTTTGTTCTTTTTTGCATTTCCTTTGCTTTCCTTTTGCCTTTCACCTGATCATCATTCTGCTTGAATTGCTGTGAGTCTTGCAACTATTCGCAAACTCCGTTTACTGACCTTTGTTTATGATACTGGTAAAGAAAAGGACTTCGTTTTTGGATTATCCCTGGACTGATTATTTTGAATACTAACTGCTTTAACCACATATGATTTGGACTGTTTGTTGGACTTTGTTTACCCGCTTACAGGAAGTAAAACTTACATTTTACTATTCAGTGTATCTGTGTGCTGGTTGTGTGTTATTCATCACTACTCTCACTGTTTCCCTGAGTGCACTCATTCTCCTAATGGGGAAAATACCTCAACATGTCTCCCCTAGTCCTTCTTTTCATTAGACTAGACATACCCAGTTCTTGCAACCATTCTTCATATGTTTTAGCCTCCAGTTCCCTAATCATCTTTGTTGCTCTTCTCTGCACTCTTTCTAGAGTCTCAATGTCTTTTTTTACATTGTGAATAAGTTAGCAAGACAAGCAGAAAGTTGTAGTTCATTAACATCTCAAGGGTTAATAGCCACTTATGTAGGCTAAAAAAATTGGCCTTTTCTTCTGCTTTCGGCTACCAGTATACTTTTCCTGGTTCATAACAAATCTGTGATTGCCTCATTCTATTTATTTTAACTGGCAGGCAGAATTAATAGGAATCTTTAAATCCATTTTGAATTATTTTAAACTTAGAGCAGTGCTCAGTTAGACATATTTACATTTTGTTGGGTGGGGTGACTCACTTATTAAGAAAGAACAGACTGTACACAGAAAAAAGTATGGCTGTACTCTTCCTTCCCCCAATTTCTTACAGATCAGTTATATATTAAAGTGCAGCATTGATCACATTTATATTCATAGAGCATTACATAGCGGGGTTCATCAGATGCCTAGCATCTTCTAGAATACTGTTTACAAAATGTGTCCTGCTTGCAGGATTGTTGTAAATTATGTTTGTTCTATATTTGTAAATGTTACAAATTTTCTGTAATTTAAATGTTATCTCTTCTCTATAGTTCTGATTTGGCATTTGATCTAGAAGGATATATTTTTATCTTGATCAATGATGTCTTGACAGCTGCAAATGGTGCTTATGTAAAACAGAAGCTAGATTCAAAGGTAAGATCACCTCACTCTTGCATGTTGCTATGTTGATCAGTAAAAGATAAATAAAAATGTATTTTTTTGTTGCTGTGGGATAAGATATTCCACAGGTTGATGTATGATGTATATAGTGATATGCAAAATGTTTCATTTTGAAATACCGCAAGCACAAAATTTCATGACCCTGCCCCAACACTGAAACAGTTTGTTCCAATATTTTGGAAGCATCTCAACCTTCAAACATTTTTTATCAACCTTCAGACAGATTTTTTTTTTTGCACTTCAGGCTTGAGATGGAGCATCTTGTGAAATTTGATGCTTGAAACATTTTAAAAGCTTCCATTTATAATTTGTCAAGATATTATTTAGATTCCTTGTTGAGGGAGATGTAATTTAGCTATATCTGGAGAGTAATATTTTCCTCACTGCTGCTCTAAATCAGCACTCTGTTTCTACCCAAGGACAACCACAATTCTGTTGGTGTTGTTGGATTAAATAACTTAGTCATAACACCAGAAGCATTAACACATTCCGCAGCACAATAATACCCAACTATTTTTACTGTGAAGTTATTTCATGCCAAGATTAAAGTGGCAACTTCATTTTTAGCACCAGAAAATCTTGAAAACCTGCAGATGTGGTTTTTAAGGTTAGCTGAAACGATATTGGGTGACATTAACTTACAGGATAAGCAACTAAGCTGAAGTTCCCAAAATGCAGTGGTATACTAGTGTTACTTAGCTATTATACTGATTACTTGGTTACACACACATACTATTTAAGGAACTGTTAGATAATTATAAGATGGTTTGGTGACTGTCACCCATTGTAAGTAACCAGCGTAACTGGTTCCTTTCTAAGCATAATGAATCAAGAGCTAGCTTGCTAGCTATGAAAGTGGATGAAGGTCGATTAGATCATGCGGTTTCAAATTGTGGATTAAGTGAGTTAACTTGCTGTGGTTTTTTGGGATAGATTTCTTACAGAGTTATTTCAGGCAAACATAGTTTAACGGCAGATTTAGGTTTATTCTCCATATTTAGACGACAACTAGGCAAAAACCTATCCAGTTTAGAAGCTGAATTTCTGTGGGTAAAAAGTACAGTTTCCTTTGAATATTTATCCTTGTTAGAGATTGACAGAATGAAGAATAAAATTTGTGATCCTTATTTCTCTTACATATCCATTTAATGCATTTTTAAAGTAGGCACCAGTTTGCAGAAGATATGAAGTATGTAGCTGCAATTTTTTTTTTGTTATACTCTTGATTGGTGCTAGAGTATGAACCTGGTTTGTGTCTAAGGATATCGTAAAAAAATATTTGGATGGAATACTAGCTTTCTATGTAACATTGTATTTTTAATTTAAGATATGTTTGTTTTTTTACTCCATTCCCAGGAGCTGGGAAAATATGGTCTCCTTTATTACAATGCACTATTCATGATTTTTCCTACTCTGGGCATTGCCTACTTTACAGGAGATGCACAAAAGGTAACTATTTAAAAATAAATCCAGAATGCAAGTTTTACACCAAAGCTCTATAAACAATTTCATTTTATGAAAAACACTTCTACATATCACTTTGAAATTTAGGGCATAGAATATTGCTTTTGAATATTGTTTGCTGGTATGTCTATATGTGGCATAATTTGATTCTGTTCCTTTTGAGTCACAGTTTTTTTTTTTACTTATATGCCTCTTGCCAAAGCAGCTTACATTTAAAAAATGAATATGTCAAAATAGATGGAAAGAAAGCATTTACCAACTATTTAACATGGTTGCAGTTAAAGAAGCACGATATATATGGCACATATGAAAGAAATTATATAAAAATCTGAACTTTGGAAATACATTAGAACCTTGGGTTGTGAACGCTTCTGACCACAACCAGATTGGGTGCTGACCAAAAAATCTGCTAAATGTTTCACTCTGGTCGTGAACACATCCTCGGGTGGCTATCAAACACAGCTGCGGCGATTTCCCCTGCCGCACCATTTTTTTTTGTCCGTGCATGCGCAGTCAGACTTGCTTCTGGTCATGACCAAATAGGGTTACGACCGAAGTCCTGGAATGGATTATGGTCGTGACCGGAAGTTCCACTGTAGCTGGACATTAATAATATTAGGAATAAATAATAATAAATACGAATAACATAAAAAAATTAATGGAGTAACTGCAATTGATTCATTAGGTATAAGTTGCAGCTAAGATACAGATGAGAGAAGTAAAATAAGTGCTGTTTTGTGATATTGTACTTGCACCCCAAAATAACACTTTTTGCATCTATCTACTGGGTCTTGCAGTTCAGCTTCTCCAGCTTAGTGGTTGGAGAATTATGAGACCATGCTTGTTGAGAATTATGGGATTGATAGTTCCACAGCTTTGGTGGATACCGGGTTAAGGAAATTAACATAGAGTATATTGGTGCAATGATACTTCAATGGTGGCTTTGCCTACGTCAGTATGATAAATAGTTCTTATGGTAAGCCACTATTTATTTTTGGTATCTCCCACTTCCTACAAAGTTACAAAACATGAATCTCTGCATAACAAGTAAATTATTTTTAGATTATTATGAAGTAGTCTCTCTAATTTTGTTGATACATATCATACAGTAAATACTTTTATTACCTGCCTGCATTTCTTAGGATTTTGTAGGATTATCTGTACCATTTCTTATGATTGCAGGAATATATTTCTTGGTTGTTAGTATTTCAGTTCTTCTCTCCAGCTCCCTGCATTTATAATCCTCCCTAAATGCTTCTTTATCTTTTTTATTTTAGGAGAAAAAGCAAGAGTATGACTGCATGTATGTAACTACTCCAACTGCAGGGCTTACTTTGTCTCTCTGTACTACTATATTAACAAACAAGATGTGCTCCTAGAATATAATTCAAATACATTATTCTCCATTTTAGTAGCTTTGAGTATTGTTTATTTTTTAAAAAATAAAACATTACATGAAATATAAAACCTGGCATGTTTATCCAACTGGATTTTCCCTCACTTTGTTGAACAACAAAATAAAGAGTGTAGTGTTATGTAGTTTAATCCAACAGCCTTTTGTACACGAATATGTATAATTTGGCTTTCCTCATCCTTGTTAAAGAATCTCTCCTGCTCCAAGAGAAGCAACAAGTCATTTAGAGCTAGCAAGGCCTAGCAAGTTCTGAATGGCTGCCAGCCAGACTACAGACAATGCCTATAGTTGTTTTTCACTGAAGAAATCTAAGGGAAGTGTTGCAGACAGTGTATTTACCCAAAATGAAGATAATCCTGAATTTAGACTCACAAAAGAGTAGTAGATAGAAAAAAAAATACACATATGATTCTCATAGAGAATCAGCTTCCCAATCTTAGTAATCCTTCTCAGTTCTAGCAGAATCCAGTTCTTGAGATTCCTCCTCCCCAGATAAATGGATGTGTGTGTCTCGTGTGTACATTTTCCTGGCATTTGTGTATGTAAAAGTTCAGCCAGAAGTTGTAGAGAGTAAAGAAGATGGTTTAATTGAGATATGCAGAAGTTGTTTCTGAGGGGGAAAGAGTTGAAGCGCTTTTAGTCTAGATAACATTTGGAAATGGCTCAGACAAATTCATTGAAAGACGTGGAGATACAATATAGTCAGACTTGCAAGATTCTGCTGTTGGAACTAGTCTCTTTAACTAGTTGATTCTGTAGGGTCAACTGTAGGGTTGATTTCATGGTATGGTCTACCTGTGGGGCTGACAGAAGTCACCCTTCAAAAGAGGATTATGATAGATAAATAAACAAACAAACAAACAAATAAATAAATAAATATTCAACAACTAGAGGTAAAACATATGTTGAACTTGACTTCTGGGGCTTCCTTCCTGTAGTTTTCTTGTCAGCTTTGTGGAAATTGTTTCCTATGGCATTTGTTGGATTTTTTTTTTCAACATCCCAGTTTCCAATCCTAGAATTTTCCTGAGGCTGCTAGGAAAAAAATCTTATGGACAACTGTCAAGAAAGAATCCCAGGCTCATAGCTTTTCCTACATAGAAGTGGGATTTCAAAGGCTAAGTATTAAATTTAAGGTTATCTTTCACCCTAAATGGAGGGATAATTCTGTGTTCCACACAAACACTCCACTGCTACTGTCATTGGCTTTGGCTAGTGTTAGGGTAGTGGAAAAGCCATAGATGAGAAAGGGGATGCAGAACAGACATACAGGTCCTTTAACAGCTCCATGACTAGACCTTTTAGGATTTAAAGGAGTATTGATTGTGAGTAATTTGTCTGAGAATGGAAATTAAGAAGTTGAAGGTGCTATCTGGTAAAAAAGATATTATAAGACATTAGAATGTATGTTTTTTCAGTAAAAGTTTTTTAATGTGAAAATTCATACAGTACAAGATAGTGAATTGGTTTTCAGTGGTTTAAATGTTGCACATAGGACCCACTTTTTGACATTCTTGCGGTTTGTGTTGGGAGATTTGCGGTTTGTGTTGGGAGATTTGTAATGTGAGTATTGTGCTGTATTCTAGAATTTGTTTTCATCAAGTACATATTCAGAGGCCTGGGAAATTATGGGGTTCATAAGAAACCTATATTTAGGACTGAGCCGCTCTCCCTGTATTTGTTAATTTATTATGCACTGATATGTAAGTGCAAATTATGACCTGTGAAAAGAGTGGATTGTTGTATTTTTGTTGGTGAAGTTTTAACAAGAGGAAAATATTTGCCAGTGAAATTAACAAGCTAGGTGTCAGCCATGAACAATTGTGGCATATATTAGTTATCTCTGTAGTTCCAGTGGACTGAATACATTTTGTGCCATAACACCTAATTATTGCTGTGATTATAAAATTGATGATAAGTATGTTCCTGCTATGTTTTTTTCAAATCCTATTTCCCAGCTCATTTGACCTTAAGGATCAAGAAAAGTTTTTCTATTGCTTTTTCTTTCAATACTAAGTAACTATGATGAAGAGAGAAGGCACACAATATACTCTTGTGGGAACACCATTTTTTTAGGCTGGTGAAATTTTGGGATCATCATTCTCCCCATGGCTGCTAGAAAATTTTGTTCATTCACAAATACGGTTAGCATGGGCTATAACAGATCTGGGCATTTTACGGCCCTCGGGCCACATCCAGCCTTTTGGCTGTTCCAATTGTGAGGTCAGTTGGAAATTAGAACTCAAATGTAAATAAGTGTAAGTCATCACACAATACAACTGCATTGTTTTTATTTTGAAGGCAGCTATTTTGTCTCCAATTACATATATGCATGTGTGCCTTTGCAATGCTATTAGTTCATCCCTTCACAACACTGCTAGTTCTCATGTGATCCTTTGAGAAAATTAATTGCCTATTCCTGAGCTATAACTACTGTAGGTACAAACTTTTTGAGATATTACCTGATACTCTCTCCCACATGGGGTTTCCTATTAACTCCGTTTACCTGCATTTTTATAGGCATATTTAGCACTGGACACTAGTCACCTTTATTTTCATTTTCTAAGAAAGCTTCTGAGGTCTACAGTATTTGGGATGTACTGGCATCCCAAATTGGAAATTCCTTCATTATTGGAAATAAAGGTAGTGCCACAGCTTGTCTTTGCAACATACCAGGTTACAATTTCTGAAATGTTCAAAAGTTTTTTTAAAAATAGAAACTCTGGTGGATCAAGGAATCTATCAAAAGCTTTTATGATTTTCTGAAAACACGCTTTTTAATTAATAAATAGGTCTGGTGCTTGGTGCCAGGCTTTCGTTGACAGGGCTCCTGATGGTCAGCCAAATATGCCCCTGCCTAAAATATACAGAAAAATGCCTTTTAATTTCCCAAGATCTTAGCTAGTGGCTGAATGGTATGCATTAAGTGAACCTTTTTGCCGATGCTGCAATTAGTACCCTTGATTTTTTTAAATTAGCTTTCACACTTTAAAAAAATGCTAATAAAACAGATTTTATGCATCACTGGATATTTCTATGCATGTTGAAAATTAACTATGGTTTATTTTAATTACTTTTCTCTCCAGGTTCCGTGTTTTTCTGTCAATGTTTAGATTGTAAAAGTATTGTAGCATTTATCCCACCCCCACAACCAATTTAAGTGTTTCTTTTGATTTTAAAGAAGTTCACTGGAAACTTATACGTAATAACGTTTTTCTTAACAGCCTAAGATTTGGTTTTTTAAAATGAATAAATAAATGTAGTGCTTAATGCCGAAGTGAATGTATTTTATTGATGTTTTAGTGCCTTATTTCTCTTTAATATTACTTTATTCTCTTTCTACTACTTTAGGAATTACACTTCAACTCTTTACACACTTCACATATCTATTTTATCTTTTCCTGTTGGTCCTAATTCTCTTGATACCTTATAATTTTGGATTTGTGTAAAATATTGGATCAATGAGTGCAATAAACTTGAACGTGGAATAAATTTTGCGTTATAAAGCAAGCACTCTTTAAATCTTTTTTCTGTCTGCCTCTGTATGATGGTAGACATGGCAAAGCAAAATGCTAATTAAACTCAGCCTTTTCAGACTGTAAGTTCACCTTTTGTGCAATAATATCTGCAACAGGAAACCTACACCTCAAGCAAACGTTTGGGTTAGAATTGCTCCCATAATGAGCTTTTCATGTTACTTCATGAAGTTTCCTAAATATGGCTTAGGGTGGGATCCGCTTCTCCATTCTGCTCTGTTTGAATGAATGCTGCACATAGAAAGCTAGTGGAGAAAACATCCCTCTCCCCGAAATATAAAGGTAGCAAAGGCAGGAATTTGTACTCCATTTTTGAACTGTTTTATTTGTAAGTAAAACTACCGGCAGATCAATAGACATAAAGCTGTCATGTGCAAAGCATTTAGGTTATGTATTTAAATTTAGTCTAGATTTGGAAGCCGCTTGTGAGAAGCAGTTTATATTGTGACTTGAAAAGTGTCTTTTGGAGTGGGATTTTAAGGAGGAAATCCAAACTGCTGTCATTTTATTCCTATCCTGTCTTTTATTACTGTTTTACAAATAACTCAAGCTGGCAAACATATCCAACATACCTTCTTCCTCCTATTTTCCTCACAACGATCTTGTCAGGTGGGTTGGGCTGAAAGAGAATCATTGGCCCAAGATATGTGCAGTATTGCCTTGCCTTACAGTGAGATGGGCAGCAAACAATTTTAATACGTAAATAAATTTAAATAAATCAATACTGTATTATACTACGTTGTTGACATAATAAATCTCTGCCCAGCTAGACACTGTTCCATCATCTTTTAATAGGAAGGTATTAGATTGTATTGCAATGGAATGTGACAGGGAAGATTTTTAAAGATGTAACAGAAAGAGTAATTGTTCACTTGAAATAAGACCCTTGTTAGAAGAAGCAGTAAAGTTTCTTCCCTATTGTGGAGATGTACATCAATAAAAAGGTGTGTTTACTTACTCAGAACATGCATTCATTGGAGGAGATAATCTTGTTTTGTGAGTAAAATTTGCCAAGATGTATTGAGTAGAACTGTGGGACTTTATTGACATGCATTCCTTGGACATAATCCGTTTTCTGTATTAAAGCTTCCTTTGTGTATCCTAAAGTATGCATTTCCTTTGCACTTTTATGCAAAATCCCAGGTGCTCTGAACTGGTTCCTGCTGTAGATTGTATCAGTCCATCATCAGTTTTCAGTCATCGCTGCTTGTAGTTCTGTGACTTTTATAAAAAGGACTATTCAACATCCAGCTACTCCTCAAAAGCTTATCTAGAAATTACTTCTAACATCTAAGGAAATCTTTTGCAATCAAGACATAAAAGATTTTAATTTATGGGTAGGACCTCCTGTCATAGTTTCATTATAGACCATTGAAATTCACAGATTTTTGGATAATTTGTTCTGATCTTTGCTGTGATTTGGTATGTTCATTATAGAACTCTAATACAGAGAAAAATAGTAAGCTTGAATATTGCGCAATAGGGATGGCTATATAAACTATTATAAAGGACTATGTTAAAACATACTTCGTCTTTTTCCCCTTTTAACCACCCATAATAACCTTATAAGGAGATCCATAAAAAATTAATAAATGTTATGAAGTATTTATATTTTTCTTTAAGCTTAACAATGGTACAATATTAAAAATATACTGGATTGATAGGCTATACTATATCTTAGGCAAAATGTTTGTCAGACCTAATGCACATTATGATATACATTGTTAAATAAATCTGCTATAATTTATAATTGCTATTGTCACTTTTATCAGGTACAGAGTAAAACAGGATGGGATTTAATTTTCAAACATTGGTTTTTGTTGAGATGAGCAGTTTTTCACTATATAAGATTCCATACAAGAGGCATTTACATGTAGGTTTTAATCTATGAATTTTGACACTATATATTTTTTTCAGCTTATGGATGAGCTAGTATGAAAAATATTCCTGATTATTTGTCTTTCTATTAATATACATATAATTTGTTTTCAGGCAATGGAATATAAAGGTTGGGCAGATACCCTTTTCCTTGCACAATTTACACTCTCCTGTGTGATGGGGTAAGAATACTTTATTTTTGGCTTCCCCAATTTTTCCCCAATTTTTCCCCAAAGACTTTCTAGAGTGAGATTTTAAAGATGAAATTCTTTCTATCTCCTCAATGAATTTGTGTCACATGCTACCAATAATCGATAGGTATCCTGCTTACCTTCAGTGGCTGCTTAAGGATGAATAGACTGTGATTATAGTGCAGGTAGCTAGATTCTGCGCAGCAGCACTGGGGATTTGTCAGAAACATTTGATTAACCTACCATAGCTATTTTACACAACTGATGTAGCAAGCCCTTTTGCATTACTGCTCTTTTGCATTTTAGTATTTAGTGACTATGGGCCTTATGATTATCGACTCTTGACAAATGTATCTTTTCTTTTATGTACACTGAGAGTATTTACACCAAGACAAATTCCTTGTGTGTCCAATCACACTTGGCCAATAAAGTATTCTATCTATCTATCTAACTATGGGCCTCAGTTTAAAGATTAATATTATAGTATAGTTAGGCCATGTGTAACTGACAGATTGGATGCCAACTTGTTATTTTAATATAGATTTTATCTGCTATTTATTATTTTATTCTAGAATTTTTAACTGAATATTCTTGAGTGTTTTTATTTGTTCTGGTCTCTGACTGTAATAAATTTGAATTTTTTTAAAAAAATTGTTACATGAACTAAGCATGCTCGTTATTTTACAAATCTAAATACCTTGCTTCATCCAATTCAAAAGTCAATAACTTCCCCCCCCTCTCTTTTCAAATAGTGCCTTCAGGAACACAACTGTTCCTTCAGGGACATCACTGAGGCAGAAATTGTATGTTGGAGGACAGTGGCAATGATTAAAAGTTTAGGAATGGACTCAAAAGCAAAATGGATGTGTTAGGACTCAAAGATTCTGTTTGGATCTTATTTCATAATAAAAGTATGGATAATCACAATTGGGAATTTTGCTGCTGCATCAAATCACATCTAATTATTGTGGGAGTCTCTTGGGCACCTCAAAAGAGACTCTAACCCAATATTGTTAAACATTCTTGCCAAAAATTTAGGAATTATTCATCTGTCTTTGGTCCATGTCTGAATTATATTAAATCAATTGTCAAAATCTTGTCTATCTTATATACGTAGGTTTATTCTGATGTATTCAACAGTACTTTGTACTCAGTATAACTCTGCCCTTACAACTACAATAGTTGGCTGTATTAAGGTAATTAATACTCTTTAAATTTATAGAACCAATAATTGTCTTATCTTGCAACTTTTCTTGGAAAAATAGACACAATTCAGCCATACCTTTTTTTGGTACATATTCTACTTCTTGATTGGAAAGAAAATCATAGAGAATATTGTATTAGCTTGATATAGAAAAGCTTGTGACCTGAATTGGCCTTTACATATGTGAAAGAAAAATGGTAATTTTTATTTAACAAATGCAGTATGTGTGGGAAAAGCTAAGCCTGACAGATGGAGGTGATGTGGTAGAGCTGTGGGATTTCATACAGTTTCTTACAGAAATTCTAACTACTTAAATCTAAATTTTAAGGTAATCCGATTGCATTTGTTTCTTTCAGTGCTGGGACAGCATCTATTATCTTTTTCTTCATCGTTTTATGAATATTTTATTAAGTATTAAGGCAATTTATGATCATAATAATCTTCTATCTGACAAGTCTACTCTGTTTAAAAACTTAAATTCTGTTTATTTCTTTACTTCCAGAATATATTAATAACTTACATAGGAATGTTCTTTGGAGGAGATTATATTTTCACATGGACAAATTTTGTAGGATTAAATATTAGGTAAGTAAAGAATCTATCTTTTGAAGAAATAAATGGACTAATATGCAAGTTCATTATGGATTTTATGAAAAGGTGTTTATAGTAGCAGATAGTATATAGTAGATTTGCTGTAGCAACTAGCCTGGAAATAAATCCTACAGAAGTGGGAAATATATTTTTATTTAATTAATTAATTTATTCAATTTATATTGCCACCTATATGCCCATGGCAACTCGAGGTGGCTTACAGAATGTAAAACCATATTTAAAACAAAATAAATAAATAAATAAACTAACAAAAAGAATCAAATAAATCAATAACGTACAATAGAACAAAATCTTGGGGGGAAAATAAAAAATCATCCCCCAACTCCCCCCTCCGCCCCGACGATAGCAGATCACATGAGCCATTCGATGGGCTCCATCCCGCTCTGGGTTCCCCAGGCCCACTGGCAGAACCAGGTCTTCAGTGCCTTCTAAAATATTACATTTAAGGAACTGTTAAGATTAATATTATAATTTTCATATATTGGTACACATTTTGGGAGCAGCAAATGAGAAGGTATGAAAAATTTTAAAAACATCATTTACATAACAAAAAATATGAAATGTATTCTAATATACTGCTGTGCTGCTATTTTCACCTATCAAGTATCTGGCAGAAGTTCCTTGAATAAACACGACGCTCACATATACTCACAACTTGCCCTCATATTCAAAACTTTCTATCCTTCACCACATACACAATATAGGAGGAATTAAAACGATTCCACTTGTGTTTCTATGGCTGAAATAAAATGGTAAATATATCCAGTTTCTGTGTAGGTAGAAATGCAAATTGGACAGTGGGTGGTGCGTTGGTGAGGAGACATGGTATCTGGGAGACACAAAGAATTTAGCGAGGGCTTTGTGGGTGTCCATGGTTGCTATAGTACTGACCATCAATTTAATATTTCATGAAGACATTTTTTGTTTATTAATTCTAAATGCTGATGTTTTGCAGTATTGCTGGAAGCCTTGTATATTCCTACATCACTTTTACAGAAGAACAAATAAGTAAACAGTCTGAAGTTAGCATCAAGATGGACATTAAAGGGAAAAGCTCTGTATGACAAAAGGCATGCTTACCACAGTTAGCTTTCACTTTTTAGCAAGATGTGTTGACAAATCACTGTAGTATGCAGTCTCTGAATGGAATTGATTGGCTACTTCGTATTTGCACAATCTGAAGATTGCCACATTTGGAATCAATTATTTATACTGGACTGCACATATGATGAATAGATTGCAAGGAACTATGTATGTGGTGAAATGGGGTTAATAATCTCAAATGCAGCAAAAGTGTTGCTGGTCAAGATTGGGCACAGCAAGAAAATGTATCATTGAAATCAAGCAAGCCTATTGTTCAGGCTGTCGTGGTTTGGGCTTGTTGAGCCCTCCAACTTTAACTGCATTTTCCTTGAAGTCACGCAATCTGTATGAATGAAATGTAGTTCCTACATCTTGTTGCATGAAGGTGTGTATAAAGAAGTTACTCTGAGCTGCAGTTTATGGGGAAGGTAGTAGACCTACATTCACAATCAACCGAACTGTTATCCAAGCAAAAGTGTGACTTGCCAATGACACATCTTTTTTTTTTCTCCTGAACCTAGTGAAGCACTTTTAAGTGTGTGTTACACATTGTTTGGGTATCTTGGTCAGAATTGTTTTTAAACCTTTATAGACTTATCAGTACCTGTTAACAGATAAAGAACAGATAAATGTTCTGAAGAGTAAGGTTTTTAAATGCAGTTTTCTCCTGAAGAAATGAGAAAAGCAAACTACAGTGCTAAAATGTGGGTGTTTTTTCTCCAGTAAAAGGTTTTCTTTTATTTACTTAGTTTTTTTCTATGCAATCAGTGTCCTTTTTTTAAATTGTCACTGTTTTTTTTAAAGACTATAGCTTTTTAAAAGACTGTTATAAATGAGAGTTTGCCCTTTGGTGATTTAAGTGTTTTGAAATGCACATTTATTTCTGGAAAAATACAATTTTGCAAAAGTTTATTGAAGCTTTTTGGACATAGAAAAGCATGCTGTTGGAAGTTAAACCCCCAGTCTATCAACTCTAGCTTCCTTTTTGAAGTTGGTTCATATATCATGCTAAATCATTTAACAGGCCCCTTCCATTTTTAAGAAAGTGAAGTCCTGGATGTTCACGTTGATGTGGTAGGAGCTGTTTTCAAAGGAGCCTCACCAGCCTTGCAAATGTATGTTTGAGGTTTTCATATTGTTGCAATCCAGAAAATTCTGAATTTTAAGGAGCTATCTATCTGTCAAATTCAGACCATGTTTGAAAAATGGCTCAAAGCAAAATATTCTGCTGAATGAAATCCAGTTTGCTTTTCACTAAGGAAAACCTAGCTTCAGTTTATTTGACTCACTGAACACAAATTCTAGTCTTGTACACAGTAAGATTGCAGAATATAATAAATAATTCCTTTTAAACATTAAAGACATTGAGAACTCTGTGAGATTGGCAGCCAAAAATCTATTAGAGTCATAGAACTTTTTTTTTTACTAACAATTTTTAAAAGGCACAAGCTTTCATGAATTGTAACTCATATTTGTAATTTTAAAACAAAACTGCACCAGAATCAATTTACATAAATTATATTCAGGCTATCCAAGATTTAACAAACACAAATGATTTTTAACACATTGCTATTACTAATTCATGAGGTACTTATAATTTATCCCATATGTAACCTGCATATGCATAACTACCCTTTTCTCTACTTGCTGCATTTTCTTTTTTCAAATCCTACTTCTGTTTATCCACTTCATGCATCTGATAAAGTGAGCTACAACTCATAAAAGCCATTTAACAAAATTGTTAAGCACCTTTTAATTATTAAAAACATTCTAAACCATTATAGTTTTTCTAAATTTCAAAAAGAAATAAGGTTAAATACTAAAATTATCAGTACTTAAAAGATTTTTCATCCAAGAAGTTTGTAAGTGAATTTCTTCCTAAAGGAAACGTTTCTATTCTATTGTTCTATTGTCAGGACAAATCCTGGCTCATGATTGTCAAGCCTGAGGAAGTGGTGCCAAAATGACCACATTAACAAAAATGAAGTAATTTTATCCTGTCCCCCTCAGTAGGCCTCACGATTATCTTGTCTGTTTTTCCTTATCCCTATTCTTTTGAATGTAAGGTACAGTTATGTTCTTAATGGCTTTGTGGGTTAAATTTAACTCTAAATAAGTCTGTGAAACAGGTAAATCTTACATATTCCGTGTTAAATATAAATATGCAGTAATTCCCAATATGGCACCAAAAACTGAATTATGTGTACTGGAGACATTATTTAACATGTAATTATTGCATATTTATGACTTGGTTAGAGGAGGGGGGCAAAGAACTATGCTGAACATTGCAACAACACTAACAAGAAATCCTATTCCAGCAGTAAGCTGCTGTCTTGAGATCACACAGATTGTTTGGCGCACTTTAGAATACATTCTCTTAGCCTTAAACTGTTGAAAATAAACACAGAGCTTCAGAGTGCATACTTGCAATATGCAGAGTGGGTAACTTTAACAGTTGTTCTGGAATAGTCTATCCTAATGTAACACAGAGAAGAAAGTCCTGGAGTTTGCACAGCCACATAACGGTCTCGAGCCTTTTTTGCAGCCTCGTAAATACTGTCATTCATAATGTTACAAATTCATTGCTGTTTTGCGGTATGAAGTACATGTGCAAGCCTTTCAATAGATTTATGAATTAGAATAGAAAAACAAGCCCTGTTCTCCCCATAATGAGACTTCCCCTCCCAACCATTAGCAATAGGCGCATTGTAATCTTTGGTCACTAGAACATTGTCCATTCAAGCAAGATGCAGCAACTTTTAAAATGTTATGAACTCCATGGATTATTTTGGATAAATGCTGTCTTATCCAGCAACAATTTGGGGGGGGGGGGGGGGAGGAGAGTGAAATGAGTGTGCAGAATTTTTTTTCTTTGTCTAGGATGTATTAAGTCATCCTTTGCTTGGTTTACTTTTTTTTGGTGGGGGGGGTGTTGGGGTTGGCTTCTGTTTTTAATTCTAAACCATGGAAGATTATTCCTTCATTTATTCCTGCTTTGCCGCTGAATTTAAACACTATGATTGTAGGTGGTTCTGGAGATCACAAGAGTCAGTTCTACAAAAAGAGATGTGTAGTTTCTCCAACTGCTATAAATGAATTATGAGAGCCAATATTTTAATCAAAATGATTTAACTCTAGATTTTGCACCTGCCAGCTATTTAGAAGAATGAACTATCTTGACTTTGAAAGTAGATTAAAGGGATCTATTATACTAGAATTTTATTTTCTTGTCTACTTATGCTGGCTTGTTAAGTAGATAATGGTAGCATTTAGGTCGTGCAGGCTAACAAATGGATTACTGCCTTAGTCTACTGTTACCTTAATTATATTGTGCACCAAAATACTCATAAAATGCTTTGTGGACAATTTATGCAAATAAACATGTAGAATAAGGGATGCTGTTAAGACTGGAATTCTCATAATTCAGTCAAATTATTGTATTTTTGTTAACCTGCTTTACTGAGGCAGTTGCTCTCAGGTACTTGTTAGACAAAATGTTAATCTACTGGATAGATTTACTGCCATATTAAATAGTTCTCAGTTCATTTGCTTTTTTGTAATATACACATTTTTAGTGCCAAGTTTTAGAAAATATATATACTTCTTAGATAAACAAGTCTTATAATTTTATTTTCTACACTGTTAAATTAATGTTACTATTTTTCCTATATAGAGAGCAATCCAGTATTAGGAATAAACATTTTTAATGTATAACTTTTATGTGCTATGTATTTTTGTACTGGCTTAAATAAATCAAGATTGTCTCCATTTACATTTTTTTGTTCTGGCTTTTATAAGACTTCCAATATTTTAGTGACAACAATAGATTTAGGAATACTATACTTTAGGTATTATACTGTTAATTATCTTAGGCTTTGGCACCACTTTTTAGTGAACTTGAACGATGTAACAAATTCAATAGTAGTTGCTTCATTTATAAAACCAGTCATCTCTGTTTAGTTTTTTTTTTTTTTACAAATAACTCAAGGTGGCAAACATATTCAACACACCTTCCTCCTCCTGTTTTCTACACAACAACAACCCTGTGAGGTAAGTTGGATTTTCTGAAGTATGATGAACAATATGTGAGAAAGCTTGGAGTTGTCTTCCATATACATATACATCCCCCACTGGCATATGCCACTTCAAGGATTTTGTTACCTACTTCCAAAAAAGTAGGTGTGGTTTTTAATTTTGAGAAAATATTTCTAGGATATGTGAATAAAAGCATCTCTTCATCACATATGGTGAAGTGGTTGAGCTGGCCCAGAGAAACCTGTGTTCAGGCTGACCTTTATCAAACCATCATTCAGTTCAACCTACCTCACAAGATTGCTGTTTCAATAAAACATCACTTGTTAGGAATGTAAGTCACCTAACAGTTGGGTTGGAAATATATAAACCAGGATAGACATTTTAATACTATCTCTTTAAGGGAATGCTAAAATTGTAATTGGGTGTAGTTCCTCAAATGGCCATAGGATGGAGCCAGAAACCTGGTTTCTGAGTGTTGCTGTTCCTGCATTTCCCTATTGACTGTTACTGATCATCGTTATTCTTGGATTTGATGTGAGTCTTTTACTGAACTGTTTTTGATGCTGGACTTTATTGGATTATCCCTGGACTGAAAACTGACTGCTATAACAGTGTATGCCTTGGACTGTTTGTTGGACTTTGTTTAACTGTTTATTGGAAGTAAAACCTACATTTTACTATACAGTGTAGCTGTGTGCTGTGTGTGTGTTATTCAACATTACTTTCACTACGTCTCCCTGTATGCACTCATTCTCCTAACGGGGAATTACCTCAACATCACTCAGGAGAAAAATAGCTATACATTTAACCAATGAGTAAAATGTATTGAAAAAGGCCAAATTGTTTCTGTATTGTTGCCAAGGAAACTATAGAGGTGTCCATGAACTCAAGATTGATTTAAAGTTGTTTTACTTATTTTAAAAATAAATGTCCCTAATTTCAGTATGTATGTGTAAATTTTAATACTTTAGATAATTAAACTTTTCCAGGTCTATTTATTAAGTTCCTATACACACCAGAAAAAATATTTAGCTAATTCATATTTTATCTCAAGACAACAAGCTTGAACAATGGAGGACTCTTGATTGTATCATTTGATTATAATCAGAAATGAAAAAAGGAATAAAGATAATTCCCACCTCCTGTTATATCTGAGTATTATTTCTTCTCTTAACCAAGATGAAGTTTCTTTGGTTAAAATTACTGTACTAGTCTGATGTCTGCTACTAATATTTTTAACTATTACCCATCATAGGGTACGTGAATTTATATGACTGTGAAAAGGATATATCTGTATCTTAATCACAATAACCATATTCCATAATTCTATATTTATTGAATGCTTAGATTTCTAGGTAACCTTGAGAATAAAGAGTACTTTTGAGGGTGAAAAGTACTAGATTCTACCTAAAATGATTTGTTTTTTGCCAACTTACCCAACTTTGCATGAAACCTTATTGTACTGTACTATATATAACTAAACCGCAGCCAGCCAATTTGGTGGTGTAATTCAAAATAGGTGGAGGACATCAAACTAGGAAGATTACAGACCATTCTTTAGAATTGTTTTATTTCCTGTTTCTATTTTATATATATATATCTAAAATAGAAACATGACATAGTTTAGCATTTTACTGATTTTCCATGCAAATAGTCATAAAGTAGAAATTGTTTGATTTTCTTTTATAATTTCCTAACATTAACTCCAGGCACTGTAATTTTTAAATTTGTACTTATATGAATATAGCCTTATAAGATCTTGGCTTTACCCAAACTCTTCCTTGTTTATTAAATCATAGTTACAAGTCTTCTTTTTTCTTTGCTGAAGATTTGAATGAATCTTAAAAAAAATCTGTAAGAAACAAATTCTATCTGGGCTACTAATTTCTTAATACTTCTTAACAACTATCTCCATTTTTTATTACAACGATTAACTGAGCTCTATATTCTGTTGTATGTCAGGAAATGATTATATTTTATTGGTAAATACCCTCAACAAAAATATTCATACTTAGATATTACAGGTCTAATTTCACAGCAAGAATGTATTACATCTCAGTTTATTCCTAATTGTTTTTTTAAACCCTATTGTCATTAAATATCTGAAGTTTAGTTTGAAATTATTGTGAAGCACAGAATTTTATTTCCAAGTGCAAAGGTTTGCTAAAACCATTGAACAATTCAAGTATTCCCTCTCATTATTAAGCAGCATTTTCACATTCTCTTAAAAGAAACAAATTCCACTCTTAAGTACTCAATATTTGTATTTATATAAGCAATATGTTTAAAAAAATACTTTAATAAGCTTTTCCAGAATTGCAGACAAGGAGCTAGGTAAGAGACACAGGTATTACCAACAGTGCAAAATTACTATGTGAAAAATTTATAAAAACTACTTTGCAATTTTTTTGATTTCTTTCAAAATATCACTTTAAACCCTTTATAAAGACAACAGTCAGGCCTGTTGAGTTGAAGGTTTGATTCAGACTGCACACAATGCACTTTATGGATCAGGACACAATAGTGCTTAAAATATACATTACAATCACTATACAAAGCTGTACTGACTTCAAACCAATTTGGAAGCAATGGGTTTCATCTTTTCCAAACTGCACTAAAAGCTGTTTGAACTGGTTGCTATATTACAAGATTTTTAAATAGTACTAATAGTGCAATGTCTTTATCAAGTTATAGTGGCTGCATTTTAAAGAACATGAATAAAATATTGTATAAACACCTGCATAAATGAGATGCACATTACAATTAAATACTTAAAAACATCTGAACATTACATATTGAGTATGGAATGTCAGGAATTTTCTTAGGCATACCATCAAAGGTAAGATTAAAGACCAAAGTAAAGTTTCTGAAAAATGTACACAGTGCTATATTTTACTTACAAGCCTGAGAACAATATATTTATAAACTTTCCTATGAACAGTCTTGCAAGCATTTCCAACCTGCAAAAATACAGACAAGGAACAGAAAATAGGCCTTCAAAGTTGCAATAAGATTTCTAAAAGCATTGCACTGCCTTGCTTTGATATACTTTTTAAAACATAATCTTTGATACGAGGCTACAAAAACTTTGGATTTTCATATTAACAAAACTGGGTTTGGTCAGCCATGGCACTTGCCCTAAAGCAGTAAAATTTAAAAGATTAAATATTTTATCTATACATGTATACTGTTTGAAAGCAACAGACAATAAATACTAGTCCTATAATGTTAAAGCATGAAATTCATCAAAAATGTTTCATGAGAATGCAGAAGGCTAAAAAAAGATCTCTCCAGAAACTACAACAAAGTTGTGTTGGGACAATCTAAAAGTCTAGTGGACTTCATAATTAAAATCGAACTGTTTTGCCAAATCATTAAATGAGCAGATCAACTTGAAGCTAAAGTTGTAACATTTCAAGTAAGCCCCAAGCACAAAATAAAAATTTATTTTATATAGCCAATGTGGCAAAGAAAAAAACAAAAAGACTTTATATATCATTGAATGATTGATTCTGTAAACCTTCATTATGGCCATAATCCAAATCCTTTTTTTAATGGAAACTGTCACTACTGAAACTATCCCCAGACAAGGATTGTTTCAAATGTAAAAAAGGTTAACAACCCTTAGAGTACCTCAAATCCATGCATATTAGTACACATACACACCATAATAGCTACTACCCACACACTTCTACTTCCTCAGCAGTTAATCCATGGATTTGTTGGATGCAGCATAAGGTCCCATGGCACGCAGGCTAAGAATTTGTTCCTTATCAAGGTAGCCAGATGTAATTGATTCAATTCCTAATTCTACTGTGCTCACCCAAAATGTACATATAAGCTGATAAAATAAGGTAATGGACAACCTGGACTAACAAGAGTTAAACATTAAAGCCTTTAGCTGATTTTTTTTTAGACTATCTCATAAAGAAATCTGAAAAACAATTATAAAAGCAAGAACATTTGTGCAATCATAGCATCATGCTAATCTAAAAACTTTTAAGTCACCATTTGTCCCAAGATAAAAGTTTGAGAATTCTGATATTCGTAATTTGGGTAAGCAATTTAAATATTTAAAATTTCTACTGCTTTCTGAAACATGACTTTATTAATAAAAAGCTTTAGCAAAATAAAGTGAAGCTGACAAATCCTCAGATGATCAACTCTCAGAAGATCAAAGTTTACCATACTGTACAAGTTATGAAAATTACATACTTCTTTTCAGTATTGTAAAAATCTTTCAAAGGCTACAAAATCTGGAAAAATACAGAAAGTATTTCTTATTTCCAGATAAGAATATGGAAAGACATCACTGATGTCAATAATTTTACATACAAACCTCTTGGTTTATTTTTAAAATACAATTCATTCGTGTGTGTGTGTGTGTGTGTGTGTGTAAAATACGCAGTTAAATACACACGCACACACACATATATGTACATATGTCCACACATAGACATACATATACACACACCAATGAATTCTCATGCAACTTTCAGGATTTACAGGCATTTCTTAAATTGTTCAATATTGCTTCTTTCTTCACATCCATTTTATCAATTCTGCTTGGGAATTTTAAGTTATTTTTCAAAGTATAATTTATATAACAGGCTCTCCGATAGAAAATTCTCCCTTATGCTGTTTCAGCATTTCAGGATTTTAAAAGGTAACCTTAGCTAGGATTAGGAAGCAATTAAAATATATTTCAAAATCACCATAAATTATTTTATGGGATTTGAATCTGTAAAGCGAACCTATTAACCCTGAAAATGCAGACATCCCATAATATTATTTGAATGAAACATATTCAGTCACCCACAGTGTCCTGGTCTTCAAAATTTCCATGGGCTACTGTTTCTTGGAAAATTTCAGAGGAAGCTGTGCACTCTTTGTCACTGCTATTGATTCTTCTCCTTTTCATAGGCCTTTCGTTCGTATCTTCAAGATCGTGCCTTGTATTTGAGTGAGGAAGTTTAGAATGATTGGAAAGGTTTTCAGGCTCATAACCATTTGTATCGAAATCTACAAGATGTGTTTTTTTGCCAGTTGTTGGTCCATTTATGTGTACTTCAATTTTCACGTCATCTTTACTTGATAACTCACTTGGCCCATTAGTAGATACACCTACAAAGAAAAGAGAATATAAAACAGAAAAGAAAGAACTACCATCTTTTTTAAAAAAGTCATAAAAACAAATCATAAAACATGGCTATGTTGTTATCAAATATAAAGAATACATACTTAGCCAATTTGTAAGTATTTAGCTTTTAAAAGTGGTTGATCTCCCAAACTAAATTTTATTTCAGGTTTTTTTTGTGTTTTTCTTTTTTGCATTTAAATAATGTTTACCATCAGGTATTTTCCCCTGCTTTTATTTACTCAATATTATTATTTCAGATGTCTCTAGAACTGCACTGAGATGTTACACAATGGCTGGGAAAGCACAGTTTTAAATTTATCCTTAGTGATGGAAGTTTCAAGGGTAGGTATGGGCAGCGGTGGGCTGCAACCGGTTTAACAACCAGTTCTGAGAGTGCATACTTTGCTTGTGTGCGCAGCATTAAAAACCACCAATCTGAACCTCTACAGGCAGCCCCAGTAAGTAGAACAGCTGTGGCACACGAAATCCTCTGTGCCGCACGAATCAGCTAAGCTGAAAAAGACAGAAATTAGGACTGGCTAGGGTGGGGGTGGGTGATTGTCAGAACTAACAGTTCACTACCGTGTTTCTCCAACAATACGCCCCCCCCCCGCCAATAGGAAGACCCAGCATGTTTTCTAGGCATAAAATGAAATTTAGTCCTAGTTTAAAACATGTGAAATTGTGGGGGGGGAGGCAGGGGGCATTTGCCATTAGGAGTGCCCCGCAGGCAGCTACGCCTCTCCATCAGCTGCTCCTAACAGCCAATCATGGTGGAGCACGGAGGGCTCCCTTACCCCTCCCTTACCCGGGTCAGCAGGCAGGCGTCGTTGCCGTGGATGTCTGGCAGCGTTTCAGCCATTTCTCAGGCCTCTGTAGCTTCCATGGTTCCCACCAGTGCTGGCGCCTCTCTCGCCAGTGCTGTCTCCAACAACAGCATCTGAGTCGCTCCTGCTTTTCCTCCGTCCCCGTAACAACAACAAAAAAACATTTTGAGGTACCTGGGAGCACCATGCGCTGCATTTTGCTTTAATCCCAAGCAGCTGGGTAGGCGTGAGAAGAGCCAAGCGTCTCTGCTGCTGCTACCCTTGGTGCTCCAGCCTCAGGCTCTGCAAGTTTGCAAAAGTCCCGGTGCGCAGCCCGTTCCTGCATTCCAAGTGCCCAGGCCGAGCTGCAGCTGTCCCTCTTTCGCCAATGCCGTCTCCAACAACAGCGGCAGCAGTGGCGGGAACCATGGTAGCATTTCAGCCGCTTCTCAGGTGGGGGAGCCACCTCCGTAACTTCCACGGTTCCTGCCACTGCTGTTATTGGAGACGGCGCTGGCGACAGAGGGACAGCTGCAGCTCAGCCTGGGCGCTTGGAATGCAGGAATGGGCTGCGCACTGGGACTTTTGCAAACTTGCAGAGCCCGAGGCTGGCGCACCAAGGGTAGCAGCAGCAGAGATGCTTGCTCGGCTCTTCTCACGCCCACCCAGCCACTCGGGATTAAACCAAAACGCAGCGCTCCCAGGTACCTCAAAATGTTCTTTTTTTCCTGTTGTTATGGGGATGGGGGAAAAGCGGGAGCGATTCAAACGTTGTTGTTGGAGACGGTGCTGGTGCATACGGGGGGGGGGGGGAGAAATTAATTCATCCGGGAAAAGACATCGTAGCCGTTTTTTCGGGGCTCAAAAAAAAAAAAAAGACCTGGCCTTATTTTGTGAGAAACACAGCAGAACTGGTCCAAACCACCAGCAGCTCACCACTGGGCATGGCCAATCTTTCTCTCTCAGTCCAAGCTACTCCACAGAAGGGGAGTTCAGTGAAAACAAGAGGTAGAAGGAGCACCACATTGAGTTCTTTGAGAAAGATAGGATATGAATCTGACAGACAAATAAATAAAATATTTAAAATAGCCCTGTGATTAAGAGTCTGCAGACTGTACACGAGCCAAATTCATTTTTGCAGAATTGAATATTGTAGCTTCCATCTTTTAAAAAAATGACAAAAATGGGAAAATGTACAGAAGAATAATTTAAAATTAGATGAACATTACTTTCAAAAATGTACTTTGCAGGCTGAAATCATTAGGGAATTTAGATGGAAGAAGATATTTTACCTACCATTTTGATTACTATTGCTGGTTGTGCTATCCTCTCTTTCTGAATGGCTGGTGCTACTATTGGAAGTTGTAGGAGGAGGGCTGGGAGCTCTGCTGGATGCTGCACTTTCACTTTCATCTAAAAGGCGATCCATGTAGTCCCTTTAAAAAAACGATCAAGAAATTTGCTCTTCAGATGTTTCAGTTTAATGTTCCCATGTGATACAGTCCTACATTGAACAATCTACATTCACCTAATGCTAAGCCAAGATTTTAAAACCAGTTATTATTGAAGAAGACAAATTTGCCTGCTTTGCACATACATTAAGTCATATTATGCTAAAGTAAAACCGGAAAATTACATGGTGTTATATATGATCTAGGCAAGTTTTATTATCATAGTTAAGATAAAAATCTCAAATTCAATAAATATGTAATAAAATAAACAATAGAGTAAAACCGTAGAAATTTCACAATTTGTTTACAACTTGGCATATGATTTGATATTTTTTGATTGCTATTTCTTGCTGAAAGTACTAGAGAATAGTCTCCACTTAATGACTACCCTATTTAGCCATTGTTCAAAGTTATGGGGGTGCTAAAAATAACTATAATCCGTCTTCATATTTCTACTGTTACAGTGTCTTGCAGTCACATGATCTTCATGTGCATGCCTCATTGTTGATTTCTGACCAATAAAGTCAATGGAGAAGCAAGCAGTAAACTTGCAAGTTGTGGTCATGGGATGTGAATATGAGTGATTCACTTAATAACCGTAGATGAAGTGACATCGTAAGCCTATTGTGATCATATGATATCTTGCTTAACAACCATGTCACTTAGTGATGGGGTTGCCAGTCCCAAGTCCCAAATTTGGTTGTTAAATCACCAGTAATCCCAAGGCATCATTCTAATAGAAAATAGACATTTTCTTAAAATGGACCTTGGGAATAAAGGGTAAAGTTGTAGTTTCAATAACAGGATCTGTACTTTTGAAAAGACAACATAATATTCTAATGTAATATAAAAGTGGTATCCAGACTGATGACTATAAACATTTTCATTAATTAAAAAGTCATCTTTTTTTAAATACTTCAGTCCAGTGCAAGATAAGGAAACTGACAAATAATCAACAAGACTTACGTTACACCAGGATGGAGATTGTACTTCTTTTTACCAAATCTTGTCTGCTGAGCAAAAAAATCGTATCGTTCTGATTTTTTCCACATGTAGTAAAATGCTACACATTCTCCAACTGATCTTGTTCGTACCTGTATTTATTACACATCAAGAATATAATCTACCATAATACAAACAATAATCAGAAAGAGATGTCTGTAAGTCATGCCTCAGGCAAATCGGTTTTTTAAAAAATGAACAAAAAACTACCATTTCTGCTAAAGAATAAAATCCTGTTGAGTTTGCTGGAGAAGAATTCCACTGTCATGGAGTAGATGTGATGAAGAATTATTTGAAATAACACATTACAGAAAATCATGATTTTTTTTTAGTAACTGAACTCTTGCTAAGAAAGGGATGGGAAAAAGAAGAACTCAACATTTTAGCTAATTGATGACAACAATGGATTGTAAACAGGAAGCTAATCAAAAGCCATAACAGCCTTAGAAATCACTGATGTCTTTCTGAAATGCAAATACTTTTAAAGAGGCTAACAGAATTCTGTATAATCAAAGGAACACTATCTTACTGTATAACCCAATGGAATTAGAGCCATAATTGCATAAGCCACTAGAATTGCAATCAAACAGTGTAACATATTTTGCAGAATATAAATAAAAGGGCTTTAAGAGATGGAATCAATATTAAATGTCCTGATACATTGACCATATTAGAGCCAGTGATTTGACAGCAGTACTTCAAAGATAAGGAGCCATTATAATTTCTCCATAATGCCATTGTCTGTTTTAAGTAATACTTTTCAAAGAACTGCTACACATTACATGACTGTTTGAAGATCCAACTAGATAACATAAGGGGAGTAGGACATACATCAGCAGTGTAGGATCCTATAGGTGAAATAGGATTTAACAGCTTCTCTAAGGTTGTCACACGGTAATGCCAGGGCTCTAACTTAGCCCTAAACTTAAGCATGGTTAAAGTTAACAAGATTCTCTGTTTAAGATGGATAGAAAGTGATTATGTAGCAACCTGGTCAGCCTCAAACTTAATGACAGTTAAGTGATAGCCACTGGTGTTCAATGATAATCACTAATATGCACAAGGGAAATTCAATTAGTGAAAGGATCATAATATTCTATAACTGAGCATAACTGCATTTGTCATATTGAGGTCTCATGAAGTCAAAGCTAAAAGCACTCTACTACATTAGAGTAAAACTAAACAATAACACAAGTAGTCCTCGATTTACAACCACAATTGAGCCCAAAATTTCCACTGCTAAGCAAGAAGTTAAGTGAATTTTGCCCTATTTTACCACTTTTCTAGCCACATTTGTTATGTGAACTACTGCAGTTGTTAAATTGTTAAATGAATCTGGCTTCCCCATTGACTTTGCTTGTCAGAAGGTCACAAAAGGTGATCACATGACTCTGAGACACCACAACTGTCATAAATATGAACCACTTGCCAACTATCCAAATTCTGATCATATTCTGATCATAGGAAGGCTACAATGTGAAAGACAGTCAGAAGTCACTTTTTTCGGTGCTGTTGTAACTTTGAGCTTACTAAATGAATGGTTGTAAGTCAAGGTCTACCTGTTTTGCCTTCATTACAATAAAAATGTGACTTCATTCAAATTAACTTTCCACACTGGGACAGCTGGAAGGGCAATTTTAGGCTTACAGGTCAGAGATAAAATAAGTATTGTATATTCAAGCTGCCCAGTAACACAGATCATCTCTGTTGTCATCATGGTGGCCATGAACTACTGAGCTTCTTCTAACTCTATGTTGAGAGAAAGCAAATAGAAATCTCCCACCTTACAGTTTTTCACTTAATGCTTTCATCATTATACAAGTTTATACAACTAATTATACAACTAACCTTGTTTGCTTGGATTAAGTGAAAATCCTTTCCGTAAGCCTTCAAACCTTGTTCAAAATTTCTACATTCTTCTTCTGTCCAAACAGACAGCTCCTCTGAATTAAAATAATACAATACACAAATTAATAAGAAACTACAAGTCAAAAAAGGAAGTCTATTTATGAATTCTTAAGTTAAAAATGATAGCATGTCTCATGTTTGATACAGGACCTTTTATGTAGATAAAGGTATCTGGAAACCGGGAAGCTCTTTATAATGTATTTTAAAAAGTAAATGGGGAAAGTGAGCAAATGCTTCGTGTTGTAAACATCTTCTTCCTGCCTACTTTATTTCCTAGGATAGGGTTGGGGGTTAATTTGGGAGGTATATCTAGCACGGGGCCATTCCTTTCTTTCTGTCCTTTTTCATTTTCAGAGAAGACAAAATCTTTTCTGCATAGAAGTTCTTCCCATTCATACACTTTTACAGAAATCATTGCACTGTGAAAATACAATGCCATGAGTTGCCATCATTATCTTTTTAATGCCGTACTAGTTTTCAAGATAACCAAGGTAATATGGAAATACCTCCACAGCAAAAGATGTGCTATGAATTAGGTCCTCCCTGTCCTCTTCCCGTCCCACCTCCTCCACCACCCCATCTTCAGATGAACTCTCTTTCTCCATATCTACCAGAAGGAAAATATGGTTACTATAATATGTGTATACCAGAGCTGAAGTTTAAGAGAATAAAATATTCAACTGAAGTAAGTATGAAAATCACTGTGGCTGTGCATGTGCATGTAAGTGTAAGAAACCAATTTGAAAAATGATGTAGAAATTCACAATAGTGAAACACCTTTAAAAATAAATAATTTATACATACCCCGAGCTGCTTTTACATTAAATCTCAATCTTCTCAATGCTTCATCTGTATCAAAATTACATTTCACTAATTCATACAAAGCCTGCAAAAAAAAGAAGTCCAAATTGTCACCTGAGGTTTCAATTTTAAATTTTTATGTTAAAAATGACAGAGCTCAAGCAATATGAACTATGATCTCGAGGTTTTTCTATAGCTAATATAAAAATTCTGAATCAGCTCTTCAAGATATTCAAAAATGTTATGGATTGGATATAGGATATTATTCCTTTGATAGGAACATACTGAAGGAGTGGCCTGCTTAAATTGCCATTTTTCCCTGATTTTCTGTCTCTTTTCATCATCCAATCTTCTTCCACTGTTCTTGACAGCTGATACCCTTCCAGAGAAAATTTTTAACAAAAATGTAGGTAATAAAATGGGGAGGATTGCTGCTAAAAACCAACTCCTTTTTAGCCAATGGAAAAGCTCTGTTGGCAAATGAAGATTTCATGTATTTTACCTGTTCATTATCTTTAATATGGGATCCTTCAGGAATTGCATCAATTCCTCTTTCATCACCTGTACGTCTGGAGGCTTCATTAAGGAATTCAATCACTTTATCTTCAGTCAAGTAATCTGGATTCCATAGCAATTGATCATCATTTTCATACACTAAAATTAGAGATAGATAATTAAATATTTCCTAACAAATACTTATAGATCAGATAATTCTTTGCATACGACTCATAAATTTCTCATTTTTTAAAATATTAATGAAAAATAGGAGACCCGAATTAAAGAAGGGAAAAGCAAACAGCTTCTGGAAAGTGCCTCATTTGTTTAGTTTATTGTTTACCTTTTTACTTATTTCATTCAGTTCCAAGTAAGTGCAAACGAGTTTTCTCACATTACATTTGCAGAATGGTTTAATCAAATTTTATAATTTTACACAGAAAATATCATTTTAGAGCAAATATTCAGTAATTATTATCTAATATTTATATATAAGGAAAAACTAGCACTTGAATGTTAATAACCTTTTGGGAAATATAATAGCAAAAATATCCTGATCCTTGCTTCCTAATATTTCTTGCAGAAACTGTTCTAAAATTATATTATAACCTGCCAACTATAGAAGATATTACCAAATCTGACCTATATAAATGCTGTCAGCCTCATAATAAACCACAATGATGAAAACTGAAGTGTCTTTTGATTTTATAACTTTTCCCTTTAACATACAAAAAGAAAAGAGAAAAAAACACACAAAGCAAAATAGAAACAAATTACATATTTTCTGTATTTATTTATATTCCGCCTTTATCATTTTTACAAATAAAGTGGCAAATACACACAATACTCCTCCCTCTTCTTATTTTCCACACACCAATAACACCGTGAGATGGATTGGGCTAAAAGAGGGAGATTGGCCCCAAATCACCCAGATAGCTTTTTAGCTAAGTTGGGACTTGAACTCACGGTTTCCTGTTTTTTAGCTGGTGCCTTAATCATTAGACCAACTGGCTCTCAACTATAGGAAATATTTCAGACTAGTTTCTGAGCACATCATCTTATTCTGACAAGTAGTCCATATTTCAAATTCCTCCATAAATATAGGCAATAATGGAATCAAGGTATTAGTTACCCAGCTAATTAATCATTAATCGTTGAACCAGGCAGAACCAATGTTTCAAATTAATTAAAATTATATTTATCTCATTGTAATATATACAGTGTCAAATTTCCAGGAAGTATTGGAGTTGCTCAATCAATAAGTTGTTCTTAAGAGTTTCTGCAATCTCCAAAGCACCACAGCTACAATTTCTGAAAAAAGCTTTCACTATTATAGCTCCTGTAATTCAGGCAGCTTAAAATATTTTTATTGATCAGTAATTTGTGGGATGTTAAGAATTTTGAAGTTACATACAATGGGAGATGCAATAGAAATTCCTGCACCTGGTAATAGGAAATCCAGTTTTGTAAGTGGTAAGGAAACTGCACAGGGGTTTGTATCATGCCTTGCTCTTGTGTGTGTATGTGTGTCTATATATCGAAGCCAGTTTGTTTAACCATATTTTTAAATAAATCAAAGTTATTTCAGTTTACATATAACATTCATTTAAAAGCATTAGAGGAATACACCAAAGCAAACAAATCAATTTGTTTAAAATGGTTCTCAAAGCCAGCTTCTATTTATTTTGCATTATTTCCTCAGTATAAATATAAAGCTTCCTTACATATTCTTTGTATCTTATGGCTTATTTTTCATTGCAACCTTAATTAAAATGAATTGCTAATTACTTTACCTTTCTCATTCTCTTTATATTTAGACATACCAACTGGAATTTCAGCTTGATACATGGAGCCCACCATAATTTCCTATTTGGAAAAAAAGTATAAATCATCTGTAATCACAGATCAAACACCATACTGTTCAATAACTAGAAAGACAGTCGAATACCAATTGCAATACAAACATTTTAAGAGTATTAAATAAGTATATTTGTTCATATATTGACTTCTTTTTGTAATGTAAACTATTACATGGGCTTAATTGTAGCCAAATTTGCCAATAAAAATGTCAGATTTTACTGCATTTTTTTCAAAAACTGCCAAGTAGCTCCTAACTTGAGTTGCCAAACAACTCAGGAACTCAGAAACAAAGAACAAGTTAACTTTTGATCCAAATTCTGGACTTACTGCTGCCAAATGCAAAGAGTTTGCAGCAACTATAAACCACGTCTCCAGATTGAGTCTAATTAGGAAATTGGCAAAAGCAGACAACTTGCATATAAAATTAAGGTTTCCTTTGCTGTTATTGTTCACGAATAAGAAAAGATTCCGGAATTCTGACTTTTCATATGAGAATGAAGCAACTAGACTTAAGTAAAAAATGATCCAGTTTATCTGCAAAACCAAACTGTGACCCTTGAATGACAGATTAAAAACAAAAATCTGCACTGAGTCAGAACAAGATTTTCAAGCTGACCACTAATTATCAGGCAGACACAACAATGAAATGTCTTTTTTTCCAGGGACAATTATTTGGATAAAGAAGGGTGAGGGGAGGAAATTCCAATGAAACATAATAAAATTGCAGATGTAACTAACAAAAACATTTTTTCCAACCCTCCTTCCCAAAACCTTGGGGTTTTAACCAAGTTCTCTGAAATGCTCAATACATTTTAATTAACAAGATTTCAACAATGATTTTATTTAAGTCAGATTTAGAACTTTTAAAATAAACTATAGCTGCATGCTTCAGATCTTCTGGCAAGGTATTCAAATAGCTTAACTGTAAAGGCTTCCTTGAGTCCCATCTAGCTAGGACTAGCTTCATAAGAAGGAGCTTTAAATACTCATAACGTTAGGAATGATTTTCCCCACAAATTAATTTTTATAATAGTCATATTATATTGACAGAGTTTATCATAAAGCTCATATTTACTTTTTTCCAGTCTTCTGAAGGAATGTAGTCTTCGTCTTCTTCAGATTCCTCTTCTATTTCACTATCTATATTTTTAAAAAATTAACAATTTCACTTACATAGGGTTAGCTATCTTGAATTTACATTTTTTCAAACAAACTATTTTCTACAGACAAATTTTTCAAGTCACATATCTGGTTGGTTAATTAAATATTGAACTGTGATGTCACAACCAACTCTGTGTGACTAATTGTGGTTGGTATGTCCTGACTCATAATACTCTGAACTACAATAAACTTGGAGGTTTCCAATTTTGAAAAATATTGAAAAATGTACATGCTAATATATTTATTTTAGGTAAATAACACTGCTAAAGATCTGATACATTCAACAAGATGTTGCTTAAGAATATTTATATCTTGAAAGTCCCCAAAAAACAGTATTAAAAGTTTTTATCAGAGACAAGTCTTAGCATGCAATACTTTAAAAAAATAGAAATGTTCTTCATGTAAAGAATCGGGAGAAAGGTTCACACAGCTATGTTCTTTTAGGGATATACATTAGAAGGATGTATACAAAAGTTTCAGAAGATATTAGCTAAGCAATTCATTGTAAAATAATTTAATCATTTCATCATCCCACATATTCCATACACAAATGGTAAATAGAAATGACATTTTAAAGCAGAGATTCATGGATTAAAAATTATCATGTCATATATTAGTTTTGAAAGCATACACAATTATTTTGCTGCAGTTTTTGGACTTATTTTATTTTAAAGAGCATTTCTGCTCATATACATGTATATGTAAGTAGAAATAAACTAAGCAAAAAAGAGACAGTAATGGAAGGAAAGCTAGTTAAAATTTTTAGCATTCATACAGACAAATATAAACATTAGAGCAATGATTGGGTCAGAGTTAACATCAGCTTAGCCTCTATTTCTCTAGCCAGTTTTCAAATATTAGCTGTTAAAATCAGAAATGTAAAATCTCTGGTTTAACAAATCAGCCAGCCACTTTTACCTCTCTTCAAGACCCCCTTCCTCTTTTCCCACCCTTCAATATTCAGCGTGACAGTGCTCAGAGCTTATTATCTCACTAGCAAACAAGAAAAAGATATCGAGCCGTTAGAAATGCTCTCTTCCAAAGCAGAGAATTTTTCTCACTTGAATGCAGTCATAGCAGCACAGGTGCTATATATACCTGGATTTTGTTTTTACGCATATCTGTTCAGGTTATACTCTTCTCAGAAATGTATTAGAAAGTAGGGCAGTAGATCTTGAGATTCAAATACAGAATTCAGAGGTTTTAACACCACCATTATCTTTACAAAGAAAATACCTTCTAACATGCTCCTCTATAGATCCAATGAGACAAGACAAGATCATTCTCCCACTCCCCTCACAATTTATCCTTGATAAGTACCTTCACTGTAAAGACAAGCAGCAACTACTATCTGTCTTTCTCTGTGAGAAAGGAAAAGGCATTTTTTTATTTGTACAGAAAGTTCTTACTGTCTCCAACCAGGAGCTGATAAGAGCTCTGAAACTCATAAACATACCCTTTCCACAAGAAAACATTTTCTCCTTGCAGATACTTTTAAAATATTAGACAACTGAGAAGAGAGACGCTTTCCATACCTCCAGAAGATTTCAACTGTAGAGATAAAAAATCACTGCCTTTGTCTTATTAAATTTGTGCAAATTTCTATACATAAAAGTAAGCACTGCAATCGTCAACCTGATTCAAAATTCCAGATTTCATCATTGCAAATGGTTCAGTTTTCCTGCACATGAGAACGCTCAAATATTTGTACAACGCCCATGCATTTTTAAAATGGTTGAAAACTGATTTAAAAAATACATACTTGTATCAAAGTATTTACAACGACGTGGGCGAATTATTTCTGGTACTACGGATGAAACTGGATCACCATTTGAGGACTGTGTCTCATCCTCTTGACCTGATGAATCCTTTATAGTCTCCTCCTTAGAAACAATGTAACAAAAATAAAAGCAATTATTTTTATTAACTCTACTTGACTTCTAACATAATGCAGCAAAATAAATACAACATGGATCTTAAAGCAAAGGTCCAATTAAATGAGTACAGCAAATAAAGCAGACCAAAGCTACAAATTAAAACACAAAGATCAGTATATCTTAAGAAGCATCTTAAAACTAAAAATAGAAGCAGCCTAGTAAATATTCACAGGAAATATTTCAGTTTCAATACTATCATTGGAAATTTTTTGTTTCACCTACTCATCCTTTTACATCAAGGATGAGACCAAGAAAACTATAACTGATTTTATGTTATATTTAATTGGATAGCTTTATTATTATTTATGAAGTTGAACAATTCTTGAGGTTACCTGCTCCCAAGATATTAAAAAAAACTTTAACCAATAAAGGACAGAAATAATTTCCCTAAAAAATTATGATTCCCCCAAATGAAAACACTGAATGTACATGCACAGATTTATATGCACATTCATGCTCACACGTGTGTTTGTATATAGACATATACACTGTTGAAAGCTTCTTCCCTTATTAATTTAGATTTGCTAAGTTTAGCTGAAAAATACCCTTTATATATGTAACGTATTTGCCAAAATGTGGGAGTTTTGCACAGGCATTATATACCTGCAAAAAGTTACACTCCAAAAAAGGAGATGAAGACAAAAACAAAGCAAAACGAAAGCATAAACTCCTACTGGGTAAAATTTTCAGGGAAAGTAATTGATTCCTATCTGCATAATCTCATATACAATCCTGTCTCATGTGAGAAAAGTTTGGGGATGAAAGACTTCTTTGCAACTTTCAGAGGAAATAGGAATAGCACTAAGTATAAATGTTTATTTGTGACCACAGACCAACATTCTATGTATATAGTATATCCTACACGTCATAAATTAAAATAAGAGAAAATCATAGATAATTGTCTTTTGACATGGAACAATCTACAGGGAAAGTAATTCTACATGATCATTACAGTGATCACGAGGGAAGAGTGCTTTTTTACCTTTTAAAAGATTTCTAAGGATTTGTCAGCTAACAGAAAAAAATGTTTCTTCTGTGGCACAGTTGAAGCAATTAATAAAGAGGATTGACATTTATTTATTTATTTTTATTTGATTTGATTTGTCAATACACACTGCCATTTCTAACTCCCATCTACAACCTTGATGGAAAGGCCAAAAGCTGGCAAGAGTATGTGTTCTTCTGTGAGGGACAGATAAAATATATAAATATTTAAAAGAGTAGATAAATCCTGTTCCAAAGGCCAATGTTATAGGAAATTCTGCTTCTGCTGTAAACTCTAGATACAGAACACATAGCATGATTTCTTATAAGGGCCTCCTAGACTCCAGTGAACTGAGATTCCACAACAGGCTGAAGTTATGTGCTTTTTTTTAAAATGAGTAGTCAAGCTTAGATTCAACATATAGTAATTGGTATAGATACTTTCTCTCTCAAAATTAATTTTAACTAGTATTTCAATCAGTAAATCCTCATGTGGGCTTTCACTGTAATGCAATCCAGCTCTGGCTTCAGCTTGCACTGAAATGCAGTGAGTGAAGAATTGCTCTTAAGAACTTGTACTGAATTACCTTCATTTTTTTTTTCATCTTTATAGGCACAAGTTTGTGTGCCAAAGTGCATTGAACTCAGCTCTTTGGCCTTGAAAACTGTGATTCCAAAAGGAATGTGATTATTTTCATAGTGCTTGACAAATTTAATGATTAGGTCTTTGCGCACAAGATGAAATAGTTTTCTCTTGCTCTTTCTAGCAGAGGATTGAAACAAAAATTACTTTACACTTTTCAATACTTAGGAATTCTCATGCAGTTCTCGTAAATATCTGTTGAAACTGATTGCATTTGATTTTCTATTTATGACATATTTGAATATATATATTTTTTGTGACTACTTTTGTTTCACTATAATTATTTTCTATTTTTTCTTCCTTAAGAGTATAGTAGTCCTCAACATACAACAACAATTGAGCCCAAAATTTCCATTATTAAGTGAGACAGTTATTAAGCGAGTTTTATCCCATTTTATGACTTTTCTTCCCATACTGTTATGTGAATCAATGCAGTTGTTAAATTAGTAAAATGGTTGTTAAACAAATCTGCTTCTCCACTTTGCTTATCAATAGTTGCAAAAAGTGATCACTTGACCCCATAAATATGAGCCAGTTGCAGGCACCTGACTTTGATCACATGACCATGGGGATGCTGCAACAGTCATAAGTATGAAAAACACTCTTAAGTCACTTTTTCCAGTGCCAATGTAACTCTGAGCGTCACTAACAAATGGTTGTATGTTGAGGACTAGCTGTAAACATTAATTTTGAAGTCAGCATGTATCAGGAAGAGGATGATTACATTATCTGCATAAAGAAAAACAGCCCTGGGGAATGAAATGAACATTTTGTCAGAAGTTTGATACTTGTTAGGGACGTCATATGCATATTAAATTAAAAAGAGGCTTGTTTAAACCTTCTTACAATGGGAATTTGGGCTGAAATGCTTCTATTCGCTGTACATTTGATTTGTTTATAAATTCTTTTACAGAACGTAATAATTAATCTAGTAAGATTACAATCCACAGACGTGTTTGATGATTTCTATTATAATTTTTAGAGATCTAAAATTTCTGTTACATGGTTTAGGATAATTGATTAGTCTACAATTGATTGTTTGGAATTGTTCTGTCCTGAATCTTTACCAGCCAAGACCTGCTTTTCTTTTAGCCAAACAATGTGGTCCCTACATATGCTTGTTATATTATTTATTAACAACACTTAAGAGACTGTTTGGACAGAAATTAATAGGGTTTTTTTATTTACTTTTCTTAAAGATTGGCACTGTAATACAATAATAGCAGTCTCTGAGCAACGGGACAGAGGAATCAATGTATATGAAAAAAAAGGCCAGCATAAGAGCCCACTATTCTGCATTAGCTTTGATAAGTAATACCAGAAGAAAAGTAGATAAAATAATCATAGGATGGGGTCAGCAGTAGCAGCTCTGGGAAGTAAAGCGAAAGAGGAAAACAAAACTAGATGCAAATGTAGGTGGAGAAAGAGATCAAAGAAAAGGAAAAGAAATAAAAGATAGCTTTCGTTAGGTATATTACAATTTCAGCATGAAAATGGCTCATCTTCAAAGGCACCAATGCTTTTCAGCAGTGAACCCTGCAATTGCTTGTATTTCCTGCCCACTTTTACTTTCAGCATCATTTTCTACTCTTTTAAGAATTACAGGGAATGTAAGGTCCCCATCCACAAATAATTATTTAATGTGGGGGGGAGGGCAAGGGAAAATTTCATCTTCTTATAGATTAACTGTAAGCAGTTTTATAGGATATATAAAGGAAGCTGAAAATACATAAATATTAACAATATATTACAACCTAGAATGACTATGTGGATAACTGAGGTTGATATGCCTTCTTCATTAAAAGACTGCAGATGATGAAACAGCTGACACTTGTCAGAAGCATCTTAGCCACAGCCACCACCAGAACATCTAAAAATGGCATGAAACGAAGAAAAGCAATAAACACTCCTTACAGGAGGTTCTTATCTGTATCAGTTTTTGTTAATGCTCCTCGTTTACATATAGGATAATGTTTCATTCATTCGTGCCTTCCTTCTATACTATTTTTAAAAATATTTAGATATAAATATGAATTCATCTGCTTCCTTGGGATTTGATTTTAGAAACAAAAGTTTTCAAACCTTTTTATATTTTGGATATTACCTTTAAAGGTAAATATAAAATATAAATATAAAATAAACAAACTTCACTGAATAAATAGATATATTGAAGGAAGGAAGGAATGGAAGGAAAGAAAAAAAAGAAAAGAAAAGATCATGTAGCCTGGATTTGCTTTGTCCAGATTTGATAAGGGTGATTTTCAATGTTACCTAGGTACAGGTTTCATTTTTTCAAGTCATTCTCATTATTACAAAATGTATTCTTAACTCTGCAGTTAAAAGAAAATCTGACTTAAGTATTCTAACAAGATTCTATGACAGAACATGAAACATGCAAATTAGTTTGTATGCTGTTTATAGCATAAAACAAGAAGAACCTTAAATAGCTAACCCTTTCTAACTTTGATTCTAGCTTAACGGATATACCTCAAATCTTCCACAATCTGTGGTGGAAAAGAAAGGCCAGTGTCTATCTATTTTAATGTTCTTATTTCAGAACAAACTTATGAATTAGGGATAAACAAATATTGGCTGTAAACTCTCTTACAAACAGGCATTTTAAGTATTCAATGTTTCTCCCATCTCACCTAAGATTCTGAAACAGATCTAATAATAAAATATGTTATTATTATGCTATAAAACAAAAAGCCAGCCTTTATCATCAAATAAGAAGAAACTGGCAATATATAGATGCATGTAATAAATTATAATAAATATATTTCATTGCAGGAATGCCTTTGGTCTCCACAAAAAGGTTGATAGAGAGCACTGTGAGAGCCTAGTTTGCCTTCTGAAAACTTATGGAATACCAATTATGACAGCTACTTTGCAAATGCACCTACCACATTCAAAATATGCCCCTAGCTTATAAAGTCCTCTACTCCCATAATCTTGTATTACAAGTTAAATGTTTTTTTTTAAAAAAATACAGAGAAATACAACATTCTCAATGCCTCACAAACATTATTTCACATTAATTACAGTAAGACTTTGTCACACTTAATAAGAAACTTTAGTTTGCATGCAGTTTGTTAAGGTGATTGGTTGATTAAATAAATGAATAAATAAATAAATAAATAAATAGTTAATTATAAAAATGCTGGGTGATATCTACACAGTGGAGCCAATAAGTGGGCTATTTCCTAACTACCTATAAAAACTGAGGAGGTTTTATCTGAAGTCTCTCAAAATAGGAAAAAATAAAGTTCTTAGCAGCACAGCCAGAAACAAAGATGTTTTTAATTCACCTTTCCAACTGGAAGTACTGATATATCAATTTGTCAAAAAATTCTGCAACTCTTAGTAAGTACAAAAGAAAATTGGCAGGAAAAATATTTTAATTTGAAGACCTTCTTGGACAAAAGAAAATGGCATATGCAACAACGGCATAAAAATAAATTTTCTAGAAATTTCAGTTCATACTGGATATAAAGAAATAATTATTTATAGTTTTGTTTGTGTGTGTGTGTATATATGTGCATATGTACACACACACACACATATGCATATTGTTCAAAATATAATGATGCCTAAGTAGCCACTGCATATGCAAACACTTTAATATACAAAGTGTTCATATATTAGAAAGTTGTCTTTCAATTATTCATTTCTAAAACATTGTCCAACTACCAATCAAAACCCGATGAGTAAAATTTAGTACCATTGGCACAGGAGACTAACAAACATCAATTTTCTCTCAAGAGAACATATTCCACATCTCCAGACAATTCCATTGAATTCAGTATTGAAACTCCATGTTTTATTCAGGGTGTGCTCCAAAAAGTTTTCCTGGCAAATATCTAACTATGGCAGAATAATGCAAAGAAATGTACTTCTTCAGGTAATTCCAATCTAGGGAATTTAGGTATTTATGAGTGATCAAGTGATCAAGCCGAATTGTGTCTAATGGTTAGAAGGCAGCATTATAAGCTAATTCTGCCCATTGTCAACAGTTTGATTCTCACTGGCTGAAGGTTGACTCAATCTTCCATCCTTCTGAGGTCAGTAAAATGAGGACTCAGATTATTGGGGGCAATAGGCTGACTCTGTAAAACTGCTTAGAGAGGGCTGTAAAGCACTGTGAAGCAATATACAAGTCTAAGTAATATTGCCATTATTATGTAATGTAAGCCCAAATATTGGCAGCTGCTAACTAACCCAATTTCAAAATAATCCAGATCTGTTTAGATAGAGACCACCAAAGAAGGACAGGGAATGCTAGACAGCATAGTAGAAACAAAAGCAACTCAGAAAAAGGAAGTGGAAAAAGCACTTTCATAGTTTTGAAAGGTAGCCATAATATGCCCAGAAAATTATCAAAAGAGCTCACTTAAAGATTTTATCTATGTCAGTATTTCTGAACCTTCATAACTTTAATCATGCTGTCTGAGGAATTCTGGAAGTTAAAGTCCATACGTCTTAACCATTGTTAAGATTGGGAAATATTGATCTATGTTACCAAATCCTGACTACATTTTGTACAAGCAACTATCTCTGAACCATTTTCAAGAAGAAACCAAGCTGGAGCATGTGATAAGTCTATTCGAGAAGTCATCAGAGTATGATTCTGTGGGCAAGCTACCTTTCCTTTGTGTGTGTGTGTGTGTAAACATTCCACACATTGTCATTAGGCTCTGGTCATGCACCTATATTGGTCTGTTTCGCTATATTCCATTGCAAATTGAAAGCAAAAAAAGTTTCTCCATGTCTGTGTGTATGTGTGTGTACATGAACACACATGCATGCAGGCATGCACATGCTTTCAGGCCCCAGTTTTGTCAAGTAACTTTAACGTGCCAAGAAACCAATAAAAAGTATCAAACTTGCACATCTCCTATGACTCTCTTAAGTAATTAATCAGGGAAAACAAAGCAATTTAAGAAAAAACTGAAATTAAATATCCTAAATAAATATTACAGAGGCAATTTTTAACAAATTGGCTTCACATTTTAATATTTTAGGTTGAAATCTGAAGAAAAGACGTGGCTTGAAAGAGAAAAATTCAACTCCATTTCCTTTTTTGTATTTCCTGATCAGCTTCCATAGCTTGTTGTTTACAAAAAGGACAAAGTCCCAAGTAGGAAAACTTTAAGGAGAAAAATGAAGGATGTGAAGGACCCCAAATTTCTTCAATGCTTTCAAACTAGTTGCAGTTCTAAAACTGATTTCTAAATGTTTTATGGTAATTCTTTACATTGTTTGCTTGGGGGAAATTTTGTTTCATTTTAAAAAGGAAACCAAGAACAAAAGAAAAAGCCTGGAACAATAGCAGATGTTGTATAATCTTAGCATGATGCTATATATTTACCAGATGCTCTATTATAGCACTTTTAGAAACCAAATAGGATTTTTGTTCTAATAACATACAGCAAAATAGGATTTTAATTATGGAAAAATGGAGCAATCTAAACAAGGAAATATTTTTAGTAGATTAAATGCACTGGCCAAAGATTAATAAGATTCTCAGGAACAAAAACCGCAGTACTTCATTCAATGTGAATTTTCTATTATTTATTGGTGCCTCTTAGATTTCTTACATTGTTTTTTGTGGTCTGCACTGTTCCATATTATGCTCTTGATTAACACTGCAACATGGCAACATTTCTGGTACTACTCTAAAATTAATTAACATTTCCTTTATTATAATGCACTACAATAGTTATAAAACGTGCCATATGTTTTCAGGTCAAAAGTTAGCAATAAATACTCATAGATAAGGGGATGCAAAGATGAACATTTCTAATATGATAACCCAATACCTCTACTCCAAGATTAAAACTATGATTAGCAATGTCAATAGCGCTACTCCAATTTTCTATGAAGTTACTTATTTCTTGGATCTCAGACTGTATTTGAAATTAAAGCAGGCAAGGACCCTGAATCTGGATGCTTGCTCATTTATTTTATTCACAAGTAATGATAATGGCAGAGACTGAGCTGGGAAAGTCACTAATAGTCACTAATAATTACAACCATGAACAATCCCCTTTAATCCAACAAATATAAGTTCTTTTCTATTCAACTGTTAACTAAGTGAATGGAACAACAAGCTCCACCTTTCTTCACAGCCCAAATTCAGTCTCATAAAGCCCTCAAGATTCACCTTGCCTCAACTTTCAGGAATTACTTAAACAAAAAACAGAGAAGACACTAACATGTACATAGCTATTGTAACACTGTGCTTCTTCAAAATAATCCTATAGAAGCAGTCAACCCCAGCTTGCCTTCCAATCTTTAAGACCCTGCACATATATACACAAGATTAAATCTGAAAATCAAAACTACGTACCAGGTTTACATTCTTTTATCTACAAGAGCTTCTCTATATATTGCAGATTTCAAACAATTAAATTCTTTCTTACCAAAGGCACATGTACATAAAACACAAACCAAGTTTTTAAATTAATAAATCTAACTCACTTTATTTTCTCCACTGCACCCACTGTTGTTATCATTATCTTCACCCTCACCCTCCTCCTCCTCCTCCTCCTCCTCTTCTTCCTCTTCTGGTAGTGGTACAGAACCATCATAACCATAAAGGCTAAGAAGCTCATGAATTGGCATATCACCTTCCTAAAAAGAATTAAAACAGGACATGAGAATTTAACCAATTATAAACCATTATGGGATGACTAATCAACAGTAGCAACAATTGCTCCTTGGTGAGCATATGTTGAACTTTATATGTCTATAGTGACAGACTTCAAGTGTACATGTGCTTAATAGCAGAAGCAGGGTAGGATGCAGTCTGACAGGAGAGCCACACAACAATCAGGGATAGGAAAAGCAGGATGGAGCAATTTCTACTCTGTGTGAACAGGAAACAGTAAGACACACACAGGCACACACACGACTCAGTTTGATAATAGCAACAAGGAAGAAAAAGCTACAAGCGATCGGTTTGTAAAATATTGATTTTGAACAAGTTGATGCTAGGCAGGACAACAAATGTCAAATGATCACAAATGAAAATGTCTTTTGAATGGAGTAACAAATGTGTACATATAAATCTACAGTTATAAGTGGTTTGCAGAAAACTAGGTTTATCTTTTTTTTAAAACACATTAATTACATGGCTGATGAGTGCCATATAATTAGTACCAATATTGTTCTATAGTGCCAAAAATACACTATAATAATGTATTTATTCTAATAGGTAATTTTTCATCTTGAAAAATATTTATGTAGGCCAGCAATTGTTAACAGGTTGTACACATAACACACATGCACATACATATACTATGTATATAGATTATATACAAATACTTGCATGGGTATTATACGCAACACACATATGCACACACACGACTGTAGAGATTAAAAAAAATAAAATCTTAAAGAAAGAGCAATTGGAACAAAGCAAATGAATAAAACAAAAAGAAAAGTCAGTTTGCTGTAGTAATTAAGGCATCAGGCAAGAAACCAGGAGATTGTGAGTTCTAGTCCCGCCTTAGGCATGAAAACCGGCTAGGTGACTTTGGGCCAGTCATTGTCTTTCAACCAAACCCAACCCACTTCACAGGATTGCTGTTGTGGAGAAAACAAAGGAGGAAGGGATAATATGTTCACAGTCTTGAGTTAACTATAAAGTAATAAAAATCTAATAAATGAAATAAAGAAAGACAATTCAAAACCTAACTTCATTTTCCAAGTCTTGTGAATTCCAAGAGTTAAAAATTCTCTGAAATTCTAACAGATATGGCTCAAAAGTTTTTAAAAACACCTTTTAGATGATGATTTCACCAACTAGTAATCTTTTATCTGTATTCAATAAAATAATACACAAACTAAATATGTCATCCATTCATACAAAAATCTGATGTAACTGGACATAATATATCCCTCTGAGCCATTTTTCAGTACTGATCAAACTAACCACAGAATGGAATATATGCAATATCTTTAACATGTACTAACACTTTATCTGTTCTAGGCTTTCACTGAAAGTCAATACTTCTGACCTTCGCAGTCTGTTTTATAAGCAACTAACATCTGACTGGAGTGCAGGCTCCTTGTTCTATGAAGAAGCTGCACCAGTTGATGGGACACACATTTTCATGGTGATGCTTGCTACATAAATGATTAGGACACTGACATGGAACTTGCAGTGTTCTCATAATCTCACAATCACTCTTATTTTCCAGGCATGCTCACTTCAATATTTCTTTGATTTCTAGAAGACAAAGTAATTATCTCAGAAACTTCCTGCATAAGCAGGGGGTTGGACTAGAAGACATCCAAGGTCCCTTCCAAATCTGTTATTCTATTCTATTCTATTCTATTCTATTCTATTCTATTCTATTCTATTCTATTC